ACAATAGGGGCTTTCTTTTTATTAGTTGCAAATATTCTAAGTACAAATTATAATAAATTAGTAAGTAATAATTGATCTATAAGTCAAGAATCTTTATATGCGACTATTCATAGTATAGTGACTAATCAAATAAATCCTAGAAACGGTCAAATATACTTTCCTTTTATTTATACTTTATTTATTTTTATATTAATAAATAATTTAATAGGTATGATTCCTTATAGTTTTGCATCGACAAGTCACTTCGTCTTGACATTTGCTCTTAGTTTTACTATAGTTTTAGGAGCAACTATATTAGGCTTCCAAAAACATGGATTAAAATTCTTTTCTTTATTAGTTCCAGCTGGTTGTCCTTTGGGATTATTACCTTTATTAGTATTAATTGAATTTATATCATATCTTGCACGTAATGTTTCTCTAGGATTAAGATTAGCTGCGAATATTACAGCAGGTCATATGTTATTAAATATTTTAAGTGGCTTTACTTACACTATAATGAGCTCAGGCTTTGTATTCTTTATACTAGGTCTAATACCTTTAAGTTTTATTGTAGCCTTTTCAGGTTTAGAGTTAGCTATTGCTGTAATTCAAGCACAGGTTTTTGTGGTCTTAACTTCTTCTTATATAAAAGATGGGTTGGATTTACATTAATTAGAGAAAGCTATAATTGATTAAGTGTAAAAAAAATTTTTATTTAAGAAATGTTTATTATATATTTATTATCAAATCTCTTTTTTAAGTTGTCTCTACTTTGTGAAGCAGTGCTTCTAAAATATACAGCCAAATTCTTTTATATTTATATCTGAATAATTGCAATAAATCTCTTTATTAATCTAATATTCTTAGCAGTAGTAGATATAGATAGTTTTCTGAGCCTATTTTCCGTAGGCTGCGGTAGCAGTAGTAGTAGCAGTAGTATAGAAATTGATGGAAAAATTATCTTGAAAATAGATCAAGGTAAGGTAAATCCAGATTGTGTGCTGGGTAGCACACAAGAGGAGGCGGAGGCCTCTCAGGAAGCTCGACAGGAGGCAAAGTCTATTGAAAGTAATAATAAATTAGATTCAGAAGGCTCCGCAGACTCGGGAGGCTCCGCAGGCAATAAAGAAGATAAATGTAAAGGAAAAAATATAAATCCTTTGAGGGATATACATAAACGTCTTCTATCTGCAGATAAATCGCACTTCCCTAGTTATTTTCAAAAAGATTGCCTGCCTAAAATTTCGCAAGATGTACCAGTTTATGGTAATAATTTAGTGACTTTTAAATCTTCATCTTTATTACAAGATAGAAATCTGCCTGAAATGTCCATAGAAATACCCAAAACGACAAGTATAGGTAAACTTACTGAACTTCATAAAGCTATAGATGGAGCAGATGAAGCTGTTAAGTTATATGATTCGCAATTTATTAAATTTAATAAAGTTTTATATGGAATCCAAAAAGGAACAGAGGGGTTTTATCCTAAGGAAGCTAAACCGTTAATGGAAACATATGTTGACCTTGTAGCTAAATTAAGTAATCAACAAAAGGTTATGGCTAATGAAGCTATAAGCCAACTTCATAAATTGGACTCAAATTATTATCGTGATTTATATCCTATGAATAATAGTGGTGCGCAGGGTACTGGTATTGATGCTGTAAGAGGTACTACTCCGGAGTAGTAGTACTACGTACTGGGAGTGCAGGTGTAAGGTTTTAGTTTTGGTTCTTTCCTTCTTTATTATTATAGCTTTTTTTAATTAGCTATACTAATGTACAGCTTGTATGGCGTAATGTAATTTCTAAGCTAGATTTAATAATGTAGATAAAATTTATAAGCTACATATAATTAGGTAGATAATATTTTATATTGTTAATATTTAGGAACCGTACTAGTACTGTACTAGTACTAGTACTGTACTATAAAAATATAATAAATTAATACATTCTGAAAAACTGAAAACTGAAAAACTGAAAAACTGAAAAAAGACTTTTCTTTAATAGGTATAAATATCCCAATAGATTTGGAGAACTTAATTGAACTTAATGCTTCGTTTCGCTGTTTACCTACGAAGTCTACGAAGTCTACGAAGTCTACGAAGTCTACGAAGTCTACGAAGTCTACGAAGTCTACGAAGTCTACGAAGTTACGAAGTCTACGAAGTCTAGATAGTGGTACGCAGTATACTTTATAAAAAAAATAAGTTAAAAACAAAAGCTAAGTAGTATGATTGAGGTATATTATACCTATAAAAAAAAATTATACAGACTAATTAGGATTTTATTAATATAATATCCTTATGTTAAGGATGTTATTAAGATAGTTCCGGTTAGAGCGGGTACTAAGTAGCGGAGCTACACTCTGGTCCTACTGCAGATGTTTGTTATTGGGCGCTTTTTTATAAAAAAATTTTTTACTTTAGATTGTTAATAATTATATGTAATCCTATTAAGGATTACATATAATTACGCTTCTATAGCTCAATGGTAGAGCAGAATTCTTCTAATTTTCTGATAGATGTTCGAGTCGTCTTAGAGGTATACTATTTATAGTATAATAATACTAATGAAAAATACTGAGGATCTTGAAAGATCTAATAGCGATTATGAATAAGAGGTTATTAATAATATTCTTGTTAACATTTATAATTATGTATAAATTTAACTTTAGGCTATTTTGATATAATATTTATCTAGTATATTATATCAATTATGAATAGGATATCTAATATCCTATTAAAGACTATTATTTAGTAATAGTTAATATTAGTATTGTGTTATATTCTATATATGTATTATGTTTATTAATAAAAGGTTTAAATTAAAACTACTTAAAAATTTTTTTATGATTAAAAAGGTAAATATTGCCTTTTATAGATATTTTTTGGGTACCATTCAGAGTTTTCGATAGAGGTGTGCGTCTTTTAAACCTAAACATAGGGATGTAGGGTTTTATAAAAGTATTTTTTATAAATTATCTTTATTAAGATAAAATTATTATATTAAGAGGTCTTTTTCTTTTTTTTGAAAAAAAAGAAAAAATACAAAAAAAAAGCAGATATAGTCCCTTTATACTATACCCTTAAAGCATGTTAGCCGAATGGTAAGGCATAGTACTACGGATACTGTTATTATGAGTTCGAATCTCATACATGTTTAAGTAAAAACAGGCTATGGATGATCTTTATTCTTTGATTAAAAAAAAAATTTTTTTTTAATTTAAAATACCTATTTCTCTTTAAGAAAGAATAAAAATCTCTTAGGTGATATTGTTACTAATTATCTTCTTGATAATAGTAAACTATATTTAATACTAGAAATTCTAGTTAAATTCTTTTTTTTTTTACAGGTGGTATATCTAATATATATAAGTAAGATACTATATTATCTAAGAATAAGAATAAGAATAATTCTGCTGTTATTATTTAAGGGATATTTATACAACTTGTTTGTGTATATTAGTTATAAAAAAAATAATGATAATGTTTTTATAAAGAAGGTTATAGTAATAATGGGAATTTCTCGATAGTTTTGCTTGGCTTGCTAAAAAAACTTTTTTTTTTAGAGGGTAAAGTGTCAGTCCTTCGTCCTTCGTACTTCGTAGGAATTTGCGAATTGAATAGATTATTCTAGTTTATATTGTATATGGTGTAGCATATATTCATATTTGGTTTAAAAAATATGAATATGTAATTTATTTAGTATGAGATATTATTATGTATCTAGCTAGTATTGTATTATTCTTTTTTAAATTTTTAGGTTTAACTCGTAACAATATAGCTGTTAATTATGAGACCAATGATGTAGATTATCTAGCTAATTTAGGGTAAATTAAGTGTTAAAAGTTTTTTTTACTTTTAGATAGATATTTTTTTTTTAATTGTATATGAATTATTAAATATAAATGATTCTATAATTCTTTGAATCAATAGTTTTATTATTAGTAGGTAATCGCTTAGTTGAAATTATGAAATCTTCTTCTATTTATACACTAGTGCAGTGTCTTTATACACTAGCGCAGTGTCTTTATACACTAGTGTGTGTGGTATACTATTTTTTTATATCAGTAGTATATAGTATATCAATTATTAAACAAAAAAATTAGTTTAGGTGATTAACTGGAAAGTTATATGGTTGAATATATTTTTAAATAAAAATTTTAAGTTTTTTATAGAAAATAAAAACAAGTGATAAATAATTTAATATTATATAGTTAACTTAAAGTTGCGGACTTTCAAGCTAGAAATCTTCTTTTATTTAGTAAAAATTTAATAACAAAATATAGCTTATTTTAATTCCCTAAATTCTTTGTAATTTAATTTATTTATTCTCCGCTTATAAATAAGCTAAGCTAATAAATAGCGATGCTAACTGCGCAACGCTAATAATAAATAACCACTAGCTGGGCAGGACTAGCCCATAAAAAAAAATTCGGGGCTAAATAAAAAATTTAGCGCTAAAAATTTAAAAAAGAATAAGTGATGTATGTAAAATTTACACATCAAAAATGAAAAATTAATTAAAAATTCTCGAAAAATCTAAGTCGAAGTAGAAATGTACGTAATAATTTTTTTTTGTAATTATTAGACATAAAAAAAAAAGTCTAAGTGGCTTTAGAAATGTAGATAATACATAGATTGAAATCTATTAGACTAAAAAAAAGTCTAAGTGACATTAGAAATGTATATAATACATAGACTTCTAAAGTCTAAGTGACTTTAGAAATGTAGATACATACATAGACTTAAATCTATCTATCTATTAGACATTTTGAATAAAAAAAAAGAAAAAATTAAAAGAGTTTGGTGATGGCTCTGATTGAACGCTGTCCAAGTACTTGACACATGCTAATCGAACGTTTAATTTAGCGAAGGTTTTATATTTTAAAACTTAAATTAAAAGTGGTGTACAGGTGAGTATTAGATTTTTTGGCCGAACCTAAAGAAAAGGTAATAAATCCTTTATATAAAAAAGGGAGGGAGTAACCTCCGCTTTAGGAGGAAAATTAAAATCATAGGGATAGGTAGTTGTTAAGGTAATGGCTTAACAAGCCTTAATTCTCTTAGTCGAAGCTTAAAAGGTTGATCGACCACATTGGGGATGAAAAAATCCCAAGGCAAATAAGTACAGCAGTGAGGAATATTGGTCAATGGCCTAACGGCTGAACTGGTAACTTGGAAGAACGAGCCCCCCGGATTTATGTATGGTTGGGTTTACCCACCATAGGACTAAGGGTTAACTGCCTTAGGGGGGGATTATTATCGATTAATCGGATAAAGTTCTGTATATATATTGATAATGACAATATGTACATTTGTCTTGACCAATTACGTGCCAGCAGTCGCGGCAATACGTAAGAGACTAGTGTTAATCATCTTAAATAGGTTTAAAGGGTACTCAGACGGAAAAATTCGCCTTATACAAGGGACAATTTATCTAGAGTTTTATGTAAGAAGATCGAACTCTAGTGTGTAGAGATAAAATTTGTTGATACCTAGGGGACTGGTGAAGGCGAAGGCAATCTTTTATGTAAAAACTGACGTTGAAGGACGAAGGCTAAGGTAGCAAAAAGGATTAGAGACCCAAGTAGTCTTAGCAGTCAATTATGAATGCCATAGGTTAGATATTTGGATATTTAGTCTATAAATGAAAGTGTAAGCATTTCACCTCAAGAGTAATGTGGCAACGCAGGAACTGAAATCACTAGACCGTTTCTGACACCAGCAGTGAAGTATGTTGTTTAATTCGATGATCCACGAAAAACCTTACCACAACGCGAATGCTTATTTTTATATATATGAATTATATATTCATTATATACGTATATATAGAATTTGTGATCAAACAAGTGTTGCACGGCTGTCTTCAGTTAATGTTGTGAAACTGTGGATTAGTCCACGTAATTAACGGAAACCCTTACTTTATTTATAAAATATAAAATAAAGTTTCTCACCTGTATATGGGTATGGCAAGAGGGCTCAAGACAAGTCATCATGGCCTCAATGTTGTGGGCTATAGACGTGCCACATATTCCTAAACAAAGAGATGCAAAAATGTGAATTTTAGCTAATCTCACAAAATAGGATAAAAAAGATATGGATTGTAGTCTGTAATTCGGCTACATGAATAAGAAATTGCTAGTAATCGTGAATCACCATGACACGGTGAATATTTCCTCGGATTGGTACTAACCACTCGTCACATGCTGAAAGTAGTATACACAATAAGTTTGCTTTATCTGTACTAAGTAAGTAAAGGTATAAGTTTTAGATGTTAGAACAGGATTCTTCGTATGTGTGGCTATGATTAGTGTAAAGTCGAAATACGGTTCGTGTAGTGGAAGTTGCACGGGACTTATCAATGGTTAACAAAAAAAATTTTTTATAAAGTAAAAAGAAATTTTTATTTTATTTATATATAAATATATTATATATATTTATATATAAAGGAGAGTTCCGTTTGTTGGTATGACGGGTTAAGCTGTAAACTTAATGATTAATTAATCGTCGAAGGTTCAATTCCTTTCTCTCCTATCCGTATATGGGTGGCTAATTAAGTAGGGTTTATTTTTTTATTTCTCTTTTTTCTCTTAGAAAAAGAGAAATAAGAGAAAATAATCTTAGGTTAATAAGATTTAATTCTTAATTTTTATTAAAAAAAAGAAATATTTAATAATTAGGATTATATTAAACTTAATTATTTATCTATGATAAATAAGAATAATCTTTATTCTTCAAAAGTGGGTGAGGCCCTGTTCCTCTATACAGGCTCCTATAGCTCAACGGTAGAGCTCAGTACTGTTAATATTGTGATAGATGTTCAAGTCATCTTAGGAGCTTACAAGCTTAACTTAAAGTCTAAGAATGTTTTGTTTATTAATTTCTAAAAATAATGAAAATTCAAATAAAAAAAACCCAAATTCAAAATGAAAAATATAGTTCGAAGTAATTTTCAGGATCACCCTTTTCATTTGGTGTCCCCTTCACCTTGACCCTTATATACAAGTGTAAGTTTGCTAACTTTAGCAACAAGTACTGCATTATCAATGCATAATTTTTACAACGCTTATTATTTAAGTATAATCTCCTTATTCTTAGTAGTTTCGTCTATGTCTTTTTGATTTAGAGATATAATCTCTGAAGGTACTTTTTTAGGTAATCATACACTGGCTGTACAAAAGGGGTTAAATTTAGGTATTATATTATTTATAGTATCTGAAGCATTGTTTTTTTTAGCGATATTCTGAGCTTTCTTTCATAGTGCATTAACACCTACTGTAGAACTAGGTGCCCAATGGCCACCATTAGGAATAGAACCTATAAATCCTTTTGAGTTGCCTCTTCTTAATACTGTAATACTGTTATCAAGTGGTGCAACAGTAACTTATGCTCATCATTCTTTAATATATGGAGAAAGAAAAGGAGCTTTATATGGGTCAATAGCTACAATATTATTAGCAATAATATTTACAGTATTCCAAGGAATTGAATATAATGTATCATCATTTACTATCAGTGATGGTGCTTTTGGAACATGTTTCTTTTTTGGTACAGGTTTCCACGGATTCCACGTTATACTTGGTACAATCTTTTTATCAGTAGCTCTATGAAGAATCTTTGATTACCATTTAACTGACAACCATCATGTAGGGTTTGAAGGTGGAATATTGTACTGACATTTTGTAGATGTTGTATGACTATTTTTGTATGTTTCTATGTATTACTGGGGATCATAAAAAAAAGTTAGCCTAAACCTTTTTTTCTAGTAATAGATACGGGGTGTTAATATCTAACCTGAAGGCTATATGTAAGTATATCCAGAAAATTCTGGATAATATTTCAGAATTTATATTAAAATTATCTCCTCTATTGCTTTTATGTAATGGCAACATTGAAACTTAAAATAATGCCCTTGATAATAACATCTATTTATTCAAGGATAATCACCCAGATAATGACGAAAACTCTGAAAGTATTAATGATGATCCGGAAGACGTCAAGAATGTGGTGGAAGTAGAAGATCCCCATCCAGCTGAACAAATTATAGATGATTTACAAAATCTGGCTGATAGAGCTAAAAAAGGTGACGATGAGGCTCTACGGATATTAAAGGTAGAGTATGCATCATTTTTTGATGATAATAACTCTTCTGGCGGTAATTTTAGTCTAATTTGGTTAGGTTTATCTGGTATTTTTGAAACAATTTTATAAGTTATTGGAAATATGATGTTTTAATTAAAATATGATATATTTATTATATAAATTATTCTAATTATTCTCTATTATAAGATAATTTATTATCCATGATGATAATGGCGATCATGGATAAAGGGACCTTAGCATAATGGTAATGCAAATGACTTTTAATCCTTCCGATGTTGGTTCGAATCCGTCAGGTCTCATATCATTTCTAGTGTACTCTACTACTAGTAAAAATTTAAAATAATGTATTTGATACCTAAACTTAGTAAGTGTGAAAATAGGTAAGGGTTTTTAATATTACGTACTACTACTTAATATTTAGTATATTTAAATGAAAGCTGTATATAATAAAAATACAGAAATATTTTATTTAAACGATTATAGTTTAATGGTAAAACTTTCGTCTTCCAAACGGATTTTGTGAGTTCGAATCTCACTAATCGTAAATCATTACGTTACTAGTATATAAGTATAGTTAAGGTTAGTTAATTAATTAGGATTATTTTTTTATATATCCACCTACCTAGTTCGTAATTTCTATTTTTTATAATCTAAAAGCTTAAAAAAAAAGTTTTTAGTCTCTGCTGGTAGTAGTACTCCAGCAGAATAGTATTATAGTATATATACATATATTAATAATAAGTTAGTATAATAACTAAAGAATTAGTAACTTAATTGGTAGAGGACCTCCCTCCCTGTCACGGAGGTAGGTGCCGGTTCGATGCCGGTCTAGTTCGTTTTTAAGGAAAAATTGCCATAGGTAAGGTAAGATATTTGCTAAATATTGTGTTTTTACACCTAGGTGTTCGAGTCACCTTTTTTCCGTCTCGTAGAATAAAAAAAAGTGAGGAGTGCGCTTATAATTATAATAATAATAAGCGCAGCTTATAATAAAGAGTATAGTTTAACGGTAAAACAGAAAGCTTCAACCTTTAAATTCTTAGTTCAAATCTAAGTACTCTTGTTAAGTTTATATTAGCCAAGGCTAAGCCAAGATTAAGGAGTATCGTATCGTATGGCAGCGTAGAGCTTATTGCATGTAAATGTAATGAGACCATTGATAGGCTCGTTCCTCGTTTCTTGCAGGAGTTTTTTTGTTTTTTTGGGAAGCAGGAGGATATAGTATTAATAGAGTCTTAATTATAGTTAGATATATATAGATATACATATATATATACATATATATTAATTATTATTAAAAATTCCCTCAATTTTTCTTTTATTAGAGGTATATTATAATAATTCTTAATATGAATAGCGATAAATATTTATTTTTATTAAATGAAATTTATACAAATGGGTATACTGATTATATTTTAGATATAATCTCAGTCTTAGCTGTTATATCTGGGATATGTGTAATTATAAGCAAAAATCCTATAGTGTCAGTGTTACATTTAATAGCATTATTTGCTTATGTTTCTTTTTATTTAATTATAATAGGTTTAAATTTTATAGGTTTATCATACTTAATAGTATACATAGGTGCTGTATCAATATTATTTTTATTTATTTTAATGTTAATCAATATTAGAACAAGTGAACTTCAAAGTAATACTAGTAATAGTATTCCTTTAACAATTATTCTTGGAATAATTATTAGTTATTTTTTATTTCAAATGTTACCTTATGGTATTCTAATCTCAAGTCATTTAAATGACAGCAATTTAAATGAAAATATCTATACTATGCAAGTAGTGGGTGCACAATATAATAATATTAATATTCTTAATACAGATAAAAATGATTTATTCTTTATAACATCTAAAATATGAGATGGAAATTTAGCAGAAAGTAATCATATTACGACTATAGGTAATATAATGTATACTAATTATAACATATGACTAATAATAGCTAGTTTTATACTTTTATTAGCAATGGTTGGAGCAATAGTTATAACTATTAAACCAAGAAAAAGTTAAATTAAGAATAAATTAGTTTAAAGGTGGAGATAGCTAGCGTGCTAGCTGGCAACTATATAGTAACTATATACTAATAAAACAACAAATTTAAAAGAAATTAGCTCAATTGGCAGAGCTACCGTTTTACACACGGGGGGTTGGGTGTTCGAGTCACCTATTTCTTACTCAGCTCAGACTTTTTTTTTAAATTCTTTAGCTTAACTGGTAAAGCGCATTTTTGATAAGAATGATACTCAAGTTCAAGTCTTGAAAGAATTAAAGAGAATTGACCGAGTGGTTTAAGGTGGTTAGTTTGAATTTAACTATGGATAACCATCATAGGTTCGAATCCTATATTCTCTGCATACTAGATTTATGTCTATAGTAATATAAATGAAGTTAAACTATATTATTGTTAATAAAAAAAATATTAATAATAATTATAATAATAAGAATAGTTAGTGTTTATTTAAACAAATCTGTTTTTAAAATAAAAATAAGATGGAAAGATAGATTGAAAATGTATTTTTCCGAAATATAATTAAAAATATTCAATAAGAATATTACTAATCTTGAAAAATAGATTAAAAGTATTTTTCCCTTGCTAGCTAGCTAGCTTGCTTGCTTGCTTCGCAGCAGCAGCAGCAGCAGCAGGCCTAGGACCAGGTCCTTAGGCCTGGGCCGAAAGGTGAATATAAAGGGAGGTTATAGATCGTGCGGTAAAAAAAATAAAGTGATCTTATCTTATTTATATAATGTGTTTGTTAGGTTATTTTTTTTTAAGATATATTAAAAAAATTTTAAGAGTCGATAATAGAGTCTTAAATATCTTTTCTTAATTTAAATTAAAGTAGTTTTCTACTTTATTATATTACATTACATTCTACTCTTTATGTATTTACAGTTAAAATTGTTAATATAAAAGGTGAAATATACTAATCAATGGTGCAGTACAAAACCATGCCAAATCAAACCATACCGCACCATACCATACCAAAAAACAAAGAGTTTTTCTCTATTAAAATATTATATATTAATATATTAGTATGTGGATAGAGAGTTGGCTGAGTGGTCTAAAGCGATTAGCTAGAATCTAATTAAGATTTTTCTTCATGCGTTCGAATCGCATACTTTCTGCAAATAATTGTCCAAAATAAATAACTAAACAATGAAGATACATTAACGACTTATTATAAATTAAATTTATTAGTAATGTGTATTAATATTTAAAGGAGCAGCTGCAGCTTTATTAATTATGCAGCTTTTATTTATTTATTTTTTTTTTATTTTTTTTTATTTCTTTTTTTTTAGGCAGTAATAGATAATATAGTTAGTATTATAGCTATTGGTAAAATATTGCTAAATATTACACAAGTCTTATGGCTTGTACTTAATGAAATAGAATAGGATACTGATACGCAGCTTAGCGCTAAAGCGTGTAGTGCTAGTGCTGCTCCCTGCTGCTGCTGCTGCTGCTGCGAAGCAAGCAAGCAAGCTAGCTAGCTAGCAAGGAGGCGTAGCTTTGAGAAAAAAGTAAGATAATATATAAGTAACACGCACTACTACGTACTGGCAATAGTTGTTTGCTTATATATTAATATAATCTAATGTATATAATTATTATTATTATTATTATTAAGATGACAAAAAAAGAATACTTATATATAAATAAGTATTATACGGGTTAGAGTCAGATTGGTTACGACGTTTCATTTGGGGTGGAATTTTTCTGTGTTCGAGTCACAGTAACCCGATTTAGAGTCGAGTACTTTCGACTTTTTTTTTATAGAAACAACACAGTTTCTATTTCTTTAAAAGAATAAGCAGAGATTTATCTGCTTAAAGACAGTTTCTATTTCTTTAAAAGAATCTGTTTATATAGTAAGATTATTAATAATCTAAGAGACTTTAGAAATGTATATGAAAATATACAGTGTAGGATATAAAAATACAAGTATATATATTATATATATATGAGTATATAAAGAGATTATTATGGAAGATAGTGCTATGCATTAAAGAGATGTATTTAGTATAATGTTTACCGAAAAACATGTAAAATTGTTTTACCAAAACATTTGAACTCTTAGAGAAATTATTTAATAAACGAAGTGAATTGAAATATCTAATTAACTTCAGGAAAAAAAATCAAACGAGATTCTATGATTAGTGTGAACTAAAATAGAGTAGCCTATCTAAATAAGTAAAATGGCTTTAAAGCTGTTTGAATTTTATGGGGAACCTTCCTCAAAGGCTAAATATGATGCATAAGCGACAGAGAAAAGAGTACCGTGAGGGAAACTTTTTTGAAATAGTGGTTTTATAAGCAGCTCAAGCTAAAAAAGGGCTAGAGCGTACCTTTTGCATAATGGGTCACCAAGTTAACATTAGATGCGAGCGACTAAATATTTATATGTTTATATATAAAGAAGAAATAATCCGTTACTTTAATAAAAGCTAAAGTACGAGGCCTCCGTTTCGGTTTGCTTTTAAAAGTAAATAACCGAAATGTTCAATACATGTGAATTTAAATATTCAATAGATGTGAATTGAAATATATAAAATATATAAAATATATATGCGTAGTTAAACCGATCATTAAAATAATGAATAGTGTCTAAAGTTAGACCCGAAGCCTGGTGATCTTACTATAGTCAGGACTATAAAGGTCCGAACGGGTTATCGTTGCAAAGATATCCGAAGAACTATGGTAAGCAAGTGAAAGACAAAACTGACTAGGATAGCTGGTTTTCTGCGAAACCTATAATAGTAGGCAGTTTAAGTAACATCTTAGTAGGTACAGAACTTAATCTCATACAAGATGTATCTTTTCATAAAATGAAGTACATTTTTTATTTGTAAACATCGGGGGATCGTGAAGATTTTATCGGTGAGTATGTAGACTCGGAATGACAAAGATGGATCTTGAATTATCGGACATAGAATGATAAGGTTGTATGTCAAAAGGGAAACAGCCCATAACAAAGGAGTTAAGGTTCCAAAATTATTATTGAGTGAAATTAAGAAAGTTTTTATATAAGTCGACAAGAAGATAGGCTTGGAAGCAGCCATAATTTAAAGACCTCGTAACAGAGCACTTGTTAAATCTTAAAAGCATCGAAAATTTATCGGATCTAAATAATATACCGAAACTTTGTCCATATATAACATTAAAAATATTAAGGTTATTTGGTGGGGTAGCAGAACGTTGAGTTAATCTTGGACTTTTTTTTTTTAAAGAAAATTATAGGACAACTCAAGTGATAATGGTGACATGAGTAACAAAAAAGAAGGGTTCGCCCTCTCGCCTAAAGCTTATGGCAATTTAGAAAAGTAACGGCCTCTAAGTTAATAGTCTGAAGATTGTAACGATGAGCAAATCTTATTACTATTAAGTACAACATTTTTTAAGTGTAAAATGTGCTGGAAAATTATAGTAATTAAATGTAACCGTACCTAGAAACTGAAACAAGTAAGCTAGTAGAGAATACGAAGGCGTAAATGAGGCAACAATCATAAAGGAACTCGGCAAACTAACTACCGTAACTTCGGGATAAGGAGGGCTCATTCGTCTCGATTAATACGAGTAAAAAGGAAGAAGCATGAAATATTGTTGTACGACTGTTTAATTAAAACAAAGCACTTTGCAAAAGATGATAAATCTAAGTATTGAGTGTGATTTCTGCCCGGTGCCGGCTGGTTAACGAATTTATTGAATTGAAAGATTTGATTTTAGAGGAACCCCCGGTTAATGGCGGCCTTAGCGTGAGGGTCCTAAGGTAGCGAAACGCCTTGGCCGTTAAATGCGGTCTTGCATGAATGATGTAACGATACAACAGCTGTCTCTATGATTGACTCAGTGAAATTGGAATAACTGTGCAGATACAGTTTACCTCTAGTTAGACGAGAAGACCCTATGCAGCTTTACTATTACTAATTATTGAGTATGATCCGGGCTTTTTCTAGTGTATAAGGTAATCGATAAGATATAATTGAAACACCTTTATAATTCTATCATATTATTAAATCTTGCTTGTAGTGAGAGACCATTGTTAGGAGATAGTTTATGCGGGGCACAGACCCCATAAAGAGTAAATGGGTGTGTCTAAAAATATAAATTTATGTTTGCGATTTATTTATAGTAACCCTATATTTAATCATATATGTACGGTTCATAAAATGTAATTTGTATATATTTATACATATTATAGTCATTGGACACAGTATAAAAGTTATATATGTATTTCTTTGCAATATAATTTCGATGAAATTAGGTAAGATTTTTATTTATAGAGAAATTAGATGTAATATGCAAAATATTTTGAATATTAAATTCTAATATTTTAAGAGTTATTATTAAATATTTTAATAATAATATTGTTTATTACTTATAAAGCTTAATGGCTAAATCTTGCCTTACTGTTTGATTAACAACAAATCTTACAGTCGCGTAAGCGGGGCATAGGATCACAAGATACAAAAAGGAAAGATCTTGGATTTTTGGAAAAGCTACGCTAGGGATGTTTGTCCTTCAATATTAAAAAAAATAATTGAGAATATATTGGGTTAATTTCAAAAATTACTTTTTATTTAAAGTAAATTTGAAGCGAAATTTATCTTAGCATTTTAGTCGGCTACGGGTCGGCTACGCCTCGACGTAGCCGAGGTTACGCGACATAAAGATAAAATCGTTCAACGACTATAAGGTGAGTAATGCTAACAATAATCCTTTATTAATACCCAACTTTCTTTTTTTTCTTTATGCATAAAAATATGTAAAATAGTAAAATAAAAATTTATGAATAATAATAAAACTAAAAAATTTCTAAATATATTTAGTAAATATATAAAAAATAATAATAAAATAATACCTTTTAAAGTAAAAGGTTCTGATGTAGCAAGTAAAAGGTATTTTCCTCCTGTATCTAGAGAATGAAAAAATAGTATTTATGTTTTCAACCAAAATAAAGTCAAAAACTTTCCTATGTATGACATAAATATTAATTCTTTAATCAAAAGTTTTTTAATATACAATTAAAATATAAATTTTTAAATAAAAAATATAGATCTTTAAAAATGAGATTAAAATCTTTTAATAAAATATATACAAGTAAAGCTGAAATAAAACATACTAATAATAAAGCTATTTTAACTGTGTATGTATATAATCGAGAAAAGATAGCTTTATTAAAAAAATCAAGATTTTAAAACAATCTTTTTATTATAATGTAAAATTATTTATCGATGAAAATAAAAAATTATTGGGGCTTTACAATCCAGAAGATTCTAATAATGTTTTTTAAAAAAATCCATTAAAGGTACATTATATAAAAATCTCGGAGTTCTTAGAAAATATAAATTGAGATTAAGTCTTAATAAATCTAAATTTGAAGAAAAACTTTTATATAAATTAAAAAATTTTATAATAAAATATTATAATAAAAAGTGGAATTTAATATTGTTAATATTAAATCTGTGGTATTTCATAGTGATTTTTTTACTAAATTAGTAACATCTAAAATTGTCAAAAGACAAGCTAATGTATTAAGGGCAATGGATAAAATTATGAATAAAGTGGTTTTACCCAAAGTGAATAGAATAGTAGAAAAAAGTATAGTAAAAAAAAATTTTGACGTATTGGAAAATAAATATAAATATATGAATATAAGTTATATACTAAATGATAATAATAATTTCTCTTCTTTCTCTGAATTATTAAATGAGTTATATTATAATGTAATTATAGATTATAATAATAATGATAATAATTTAAATAAAGACTATTTCAGAATATACGAAATTATATTTAATTCTATAAACTATAAAAATATGGCTGGAGCAAGATTAGAAGCTAAAGGTAGATTAACTAAACGTTATAGAGCGGATAGAGCTATATTTAAAGTTAGATTAAAAGGTGGATTAAGAAATATTGATTCATCATATAAAGGATTATCCTCTGTAAATATGAGAGGTAATATTAAACCTAACCTTGAATATTCAATATTTACATCTAAACGTAGAATTGGTGCTTTTGCAGTAAAAGGTTGAGTTAGTGGTAAATCATAATTGTTTTGTTGGAGTTAAAAAAAAATGCTTTTTTGCTGAAGAAAAAAAGGAAATGAAGAAATAGTCTGAACCATTTTGTGAAAAATGGAAATAAATTAATATGATAACAAGTTGAACAGGCTAATTTGCGCAAGAGTGTACATAATGAGTGCGCGGTTTGGCACCTCGATGTCGGCTTAACTTATCCTCATGGACGCAGGAACTATGTAGGGTACGACTGTTCGTCGATTAAAAAGTTACATGAGCTGGGTTAAATACGTCGTGAGACAGTATGGTTTCTATCTTCTAGAGGGAGTTAGAATATAACAAAGATTAACCTTGTACGAAAGGAACATGGGGTAATGTTGGGGTACCCTGGTTGTATAACAATTTTATTAACCAATGGTTTACCTGTTGTTTATATGCCCGATATTAACTATTAATATTGTAATAATATTAATAAATAGGATATTTATATATCCAGGGATGTTAACGTCACTTTATTAAATAAATAATATAAGCATGGCAGGAAAGCTAAGTTAGTCCAAGATAAGTGCTGAAAGCATATAGGCGCGAAACTTACTTTGAGATATTTCTTAAATATACGTAATATAATATTACATTAATAGGCTTAAATTGTAATAATTTAGAGATTTTAAGACATTAAGTACTAATTTTATAATTAACTATATGGCTAATATATCTTATATTATGCCTGGTTAGCATAAGAGTAATGCGATTGTTTTGTAATCAATATAAGCAAGTGCGAGTCTTGCACTGGGCTAACTGTTAGTTATGAGTTAGCTTTATGCTACATAGGCTATTTCTCATTATATGATTATAAGAGAGAAATCTTATAATATTACATAAAAATTAATAGGAGTGAAGTTTTATAGCGATCTAGACTAGCTGCAACTAGTGCTAGCTTCTTATTAAAAAAAATTAAAAAAAATTAAAAAAGATTAAAAAAATTACCTTGCTAGCTAGCTAGCTTGCTTGCTTGCTTCGCAGCAGCAGCAGCAGCAGCAGGGCCAGCTAGCAAGGGAGAAAAGTGCTTTTTTAGCCTGAAGCAGGCTAAGTAGATTCTAAGGATTAGTAGTCAAGTGGTACGACATAGCTCTTTCAATGCTAGAACCGCAGGTTCGATCCCTGCCTAGTCTAGGTAGTTAAACTAGATGTTGATGTTTATATATATATATAATTATAGGAGTAGGTAGCTCTGACTGGCTTATGATACTTAATTATGCAGCTTAGCTTATTAGCGCTATTTTATTTCTTTTTATTGTATTGTATTATACATTAATGTAATTTGATAATTAAGGATTTAGATGTAATTATTGAAGGTTATAGCTCAATTGGTAGAGCGTACTGCTCATGACAGTAATTATAAGTGTTCAAGTCACTTTAGCCTTATAGATTAAAAGAGCGGGATAGTGTAATGGTAAACATATTTAGCTCATGCCTAAATGAATAAGGTTCGAATCCTTTGTCCGCGTATGTATATACATACATGTATATTAAATATATATATAATTATAACTGTATACGTATACAGTTTTTTTTTGGTTTTTTTATATTTAATATTTATATAGAATATACTATTTAGATATTTATTATATCCGAGTGCTGGAATGGTAGACAGTGCAAGCTTAAGTTTTGTTGGTTAGTAGCCGTGAACGTTCAAGTCGTTCCTCGGATATTTTCTTTTAAAAAAGAAAATGAGACGGATAGTTATATGTATATATAGATATAAGGGGGTATAGTCTAATTTGGTAAAACACTGACTTTGCACGTCGGATTCCCAGGTTCAACTCCTGGTATCTCCATAAGCCGCCTGAGAAGCTCAATTGGTAGAGCAGAGCATTGAAGCTGCTTTGGTTGTAAGTTCAAGTCTTATTTTAGGCAGATAATATAAATGGGTGTGCTGGAATTGGTAGACAGGCTCCGTTTAGGCCGGAGTGGTTTAAACACTGTGCAAGTTCAAGTCTTGTTGCCTATATATTAGCCTAATGGTAATTGCTTTGGTTGTTATGTTGTGCTAATACCATTAGGCTATGTATCTACTATACATAGTAGATTGTATATACTAAGATAGAAGATAAAGGAAGGAGTGAGTAAATTTTTTCTTAAAAAAAAGTCTATAAAGGCAAAAAAAAAAAGATACGAGGCTGGAATTAAATCTATTTTTTTAATATGTTGTAGACTAATGGGTAAGTCATAAATTTTTGGTATTTACAATTGAGTGTTCGAATCACTCCAACATAATCTTTTTTTTACACTATTAAAGTGAATTATTAAATTGGCTATCATCTCTCTTTAAATTTATAAGTAATTAGCCTTTACTATTTACTGTAGAATATAAGTTGAAAATCTAATTTGGTTAGACTTTTTTCTTATAATAAATGGTGAGGTAATAGTATAATTAAATCAAAGAAAAAAAAAAGAATAATAATAATTCTTCTTTTTATAAGGATAATATAGCTCAATAGGTAGAGCGACTGTATGTGGCACAGTAGGTTCTCTGTTCAATTCAGAGTATTGTCCCAGTATAAGAACAACACAACATAACAACACAATAGTTATTACTTTTTAATTTATGGCTGCAGCTAGCCTTCCAGTTCTGTTATAAATATTTAATTATAATCTTTAATCCTTCCTGTCCCTGTTACTGTAAAAAGAAATAAAAAAATAAAAAAAAATTCCAAAATAAAATATGTTTTTTTGTTAAAAAAATAAAAAATAAAATTTAATTATAATTAAAAATTATAATGTATAAAATATATATATATATATATATAAGGATTATGAAGTAAATGGTTTACACTTTGATTGCAAATCTTAAGTAATAGGTTCGATTCCTACATAATCTTTTTTATCTTTTTTTTCTTTTTTTTCTTTTTTTGGTTAAACCTTAATTTAAATTATACTTAATATACTAAGGTATAGCTTGAGTAGTTTAGCGGTTAAAACTTTAATTTCATACATTAAATACGAGAATTCGAATTTCTCCTTAAGCTGTCTCTGTCTCTGTCTCTGTCTCTGTCTCTGTTTCTGTCTCTGTCTCTGTAGAGGGATAGAGGGATAGAGGGATGGAGGGATAGAGGGATATTGAGTGAGTGGAGGATGTGTATAATGGATTTTATAATAAGGACAGGACCTCTACCAAAGGCAAAACCAAAAACTACTTTTTTTATTTATGATATTAAGCTCTATACTCTTTATTCTGATGAACACTTCCGTAACTTTCAGACGAGATATGTCGGTTTTGTTTAATAGGATTACGATTATCTCTTTAATATATTGTATATTACAAGATATGACATCTTTATCTTTTATAAGTAAAGGTATAGGTTTACATGGAGGTTTATTACATGTAACTAATATAACACAAATATTTCATATATTTGTTTTTTTTATTAGTATATTAATCTTGCAATTAACAAGTTTCTATCCTAGAAAAGTGTATATCCCAGAATATTCCTCACTAAAAGATTTAATATTTAATAAATTATTGTACTATAGAAGCAAAATTATTAATAAAATGGGAGAACATATGAAAATAATAGAATATCCTTTAATATTATTATTTGTAATCAGTGGTGCAGTATTTTTAATGTCAACAAATGATTTAGTATCTATTTTTCTTGCAATAGAATTACAAAGTTATGGTTTATATCTACTAAGTACGATCTATAGAAATTCAGAATTATCTACTACAGGAGGTTTAATTTACTTTTTATTAGGAGGTTTAAGCTCTTGTTTTATTTTATTAGGAACAAGTTTATTATATGTAAATTCAGGTACTACTAGTCTGGATGGTCTGTATATACTTAATAGTATAAGTGATGTAAATGAAGGGGTTGTGGGCTTAACATCTTGATATAAGTCATATTATCTAAATTTCTCTTTACTTATATTTAGTATAGGATTTTTATTCAAAGTTAGTGCAGCACCTTTCCATTTCTGATCCCCAGATGTTTATGATGCAATTCCTACTATAGTTACAACATTTGTAGCAATTATAGCCAAAATATCTATTTTCATATTATTGTTAGAATTAGTTTATCACACTAACAGCTATATCTCGGAATTTAGCTGAACATATGCTTTATTAATAAGCTCTCTTCTTTCATTAATAATAGGAACTGTTGTAGGTTTGACACAATTTAGAATTAAAAGATTACTTGCATATAGTACTATATCTCATGTAGGTTTTATATTATTAGCTTTGAGTGTTTCTAGTATAGAATCGACACAAGCTTTTATATTTTATTTAATACAATATTCTATAAGTAATTTAAATGCATTTATTATAATAATAACTATAGGATTCTCTTTATACGGTTATATAACTAATAATAAAGAGTATAAATTATTATTAGATAAAAATAACTCACCTATACAATTAATTAGTCAATTAAAAGGGTATTTTTATATAAATCCTTTATTATCTTTAACTTTAGCTATTACTATCTTCTCATTTGTAGGTATACCACCTCTGGTAGGGTTTTTTGCAAAACAAATGGTATTAAGTGCTGCTTTAGATAATGGCTATATTTTCTTATCATTAATTGCTATAATTACTAGTGTAATTGGAGCAGTTTATTACTTAAATGTAATAAAAGAGATTTTTTTCTATTCTCCTGAACATGAAATAAATTCTTTTAATGAATCAGATTATAGCCTAAAAGGTGGAATTTTTAATAAAAAAAATGAATTATTAAAAGCTGTAACCTTAAAAGGTAGATATGTATTTATATCTAGTCCTTTTTCTATTACAATTTCTACTATTACTAATGTAATTTTATTATTCATATTTATGAATAAAGAATGATTAAGTATGGGTACCATATTGGTACAACTGCTTTTTAGTGCCTAACCTTAAATGAGTAGTATGACAATTTTTATTTTATTTGTATCTATAATTGCTTTACTTTTTTTATTTATTAATTTAGTCTTTGCTCCGCATAATCCTTATCAGGAAAAAGATTCTATGTTTGAATGTGGGTTTCATTCTTTCCAACAATCTAGATCCCCTTTTAATATAGCATTTTTTATATATGCTTTAGTTTATTTACTATTAGATTTAGAAATCTTGTTAACTTTCCCTTTTGCCGTTAGTGAATATGTAAATAATCTTTATGGTTTAGTAATAACATTAGGGTTTGTAATTATTATCACTATAGGTTTTGTGTATGAATTAGGTAAAGGTGCATTAAAAATACCTTCAAAACAACATACATATACAATTAAAAATCAACCTTTAATTCATATATCTTATATAAAGACTAGCAACTAAAATTGCTAGATGATATTTTATATAAGTAAAAAAAAATATATATAGATTTTAATTTGCGGATAGTTCCTAATATATTTATCACTCTTTTGCATAGATATAATCGTAGAATACAGCATATCCTTTATTAGGGTATAATTATAACGATCGATGGCTAGAAGGTTGATTGCGTGTATAAGGTCAAAGTAGATACATTGTAGCTATATAATATATGTAGATACGAGTTTGCTGTCAGACGGGTGGAATAACTTTCCATCTAACAATATTTGAGACTCTAGGATTAAACTAATAACTTCAAGTATTATATTATTATGTATTGGATTGTATAATTATTAATTTTATGATCGTCATAGGTTGCACTACTTACTAGTACGCGAAGGTAGAGATCGTCTAATGCGTATAGTGTATTGTATATCGCTGTAGCTAGCGAGGACTAGCTCTGTTATGCTTAAATACTTAATTATGCTATGGCTTAACGAGGTAATTTTTTAGTTAATTTAAAAAAAAATTTTCATTTATTTTTTTGTTAACTACATGTTAAAGGTATCGAAAATAATAGGTACAGGATTAGCGACTACTGGCTTGATAGGGGCTGGAGTGGGTATAGGGATCGTGTTTGGAGCTTTAATACTTGGTGTAGCTAGAAATCCATCATTAAGTGGTCAATTATTTTCTTATGCAATATTAGGATTTGCTTTCTCTGAAGCAACCGGCCTTTTTTCCTTGATGATGGCATTCTTGTTGCTATATGTAGCCTAGGTTGAAAACTTAGTCGGCCTGAGCGGAATTTGTAGCGCATGCATCCTTTTTTTCTTTTCGCTAAGTGGTATGATAAATATAGGTATCGTATACAAACGTATAGCTTGAGTAGTTTAGCGGTTAAAACTTTAATTTCATACATTAAATACGAGAATTCGAATTTCTCCTCAAGCTGTCGTCTAAACGAGACGATATTAGGTACACCTAATTAAAAAAAACAATATAAGCTAAAAAATCTCATGACAAAATTATTACAAAAATGATGAAATAAGCGTCTAGAAAATAATCTAAAAAAAAAAGTTCTTATGGTAGAGGTCTCTTTGAGGTAAGGTTGTGTTCATTTTTTATTAGCCTAGCGCTTAGGAAACCTATGTTCTTTTTTTGTGAATCTTTGGGTATGCCGAAGGGAATATATATTATATGGGCGGCTTTAATTGGATGCGTTATTGTTTGTGTGGTTAATCATCTCAAATTCAATGAATTGAGCAAATCTAATTATGTAGCTACATTTATTATTAACCTGCTATGTTTAGGTTTATGAAGTATAGCAATTGACACCCTCTTGGTAGCTGAGTTACAAGGGATTATTTTGGAGGTTCTTCTAGGTATATTTCTTAGTATAATAAGTAGGTCTAATGATTCTTTTTTTAAATTAACAGATAAATTAGGTTTAAATTGGAATTTCAAATCTAAAAAGTTATATATGGGGCAGAGGCGAGGTCTATTGAATCTAGCTCTTTTTTTTGTTTTTTTTTCCGCAAATTAAATTTAAATATACTCGAACTTAATAAAAAGGGTAAAGAGGGAACTTCTGAGATAGGAGGGCTATCTAATAGTAAGGATTCAGATTCTTCTTCTGTTTCTAGTGGTGGGTCTAGCTCTAGCTCTGAATCTAGGGATTCTATAAGTGAAAGAGTGAATAAAACTCTGGATAAGATAGAGTAGAAATGTTCTCTAAAATTAAAGAGCATACGGCAGATGCCCTTAAAATGGGCAGAAACATAGAATCTGGTAGCTCAACATCTTTAACAGGTGAAAGAGCAGGTACTCCAGAAAAAGCACCTAGTCCAGTTCCTAGCAGCTCTCCTGAAAGAGCAGAGCAGGTACTCCAGAAAGAGGAGCTAGTCCAGTTCCTAGTAGAGCTCGAACTCCTCTTCCCTCTTCATACTGAGATCGTGGTGAATTTTCATGAGAAGAATTCATTAATAGTACAGAAGGAAAGGTTGCATATAGAAGATTACTTAATCTTGAAAAAAACTATAGCTCTTTCACAGAAGAATATGAGAAAAATTTGCAGGTTATAATGAAAATAATAAACACCACTGAAGGGGGAAATATTCCATCGCGAAGTCGAAAATTAATGGAATTGGACTTACAATTGAAAGAACATCAAGCTAAGTTCTATGATGCACATAAGTTTTTTTGCGAAGATTACCCTCGAAAGCCTGCTTATACTGTAAATCATTTATACATAGGATTTAAATATAAGATGGATCTATGAATGTGATATTATTATAAGGAAGTGGGAATAGTAAGGGAATATCTAGATATTTTTGAGAAAGATCTTAGGGAAAATAAAACTCGAGAAGAATACGAGGAGAAGTTTAGTAGGCTAATGACTCAATTGAGAAGTAACTTAGATAAACATTCCAATAAGCATAATACCGATACTAGTTTAATTTTAAAAGAACTTGAAAAGTTGAAAATTTCCAACAAATAAGAGTTTTTTTTTTTAAAAAAAAAAAATATATAAAAAAACCAAAAACTACTTCTAGTGGAAAACCTTGGTAGTGAGCCTGGGTTAAACCTCAAGATTAATATGAAGGATAATAGAGGTGTAATATGGTTACTGGCACTGGTTAAATTATACTAAGCATGAGTTAAATTCAGGTCTAAAATTTCTTAATCGTAAAGTAGATCGTAATTCTCGGGATGATCTAGCAAGAAAGCTGTGCTAATCTATTTCCCTTAACTGTAGGCTGCTATAGGTGATTATAGTGAGGGAGGTGAGCGGTAGGTTTAATATGTAATAGAGAAGTGAAGTATAAGATTGTATTCTAATACTTACTGTATTGTACTGCACTTTGCAATACAAAGTACGTACACTTATTTGTTGTATTTATATTATATATAGCATGGAAGGTATAATATATATAAATATATATATTCTAGTGTTTCAATATAGAAAATTATAATTTTATAATGTTAAATCTTTTTATTAATAAATTAAATATGAATTTTGATGCTCCTAGTCCTTGAGGTATTTATTTTCAAGATAGTGCTACTCCACAGATGGAGGGATTAGTAGAATTACATGATAATATAATGTACTACTTGGTAGTAATATTATTTGCTGTAGGGTGAATTTTATTATCTATAGTAAGAAATTATATTAGTACAAAATCTCCTATTTCTCATAAATATTTAAATCACGGTACTTTAATAGAATTAATATGAACTATTACTCCTGCAGTAATATTAATATTAATTGCTTTCCCTTCATTTAAGCTATTATATTTAATGGACGAAGTGAGTGACCCATCGATGACTGTCTTAGCTGATGGGCACCAATGATACTGAAGTTACCAATACCCTGACTTTTTAGATTCAGATGATCAATTTATTGAATTTGATTCTTATATAGTACCGGAATCTGATTTGGAAGAAGGAGGACTAAGAATGTTGGAAGTTGATAATAGAGTTATTTTACCTGAATTAACGCATGTTAGATTTATTATAACGGCAGGTGATGTTATACACTCTTTTGCTTGTCCATCTTTAGGAATTAAATGTGACGCTTACCCTGGTAGATTAAATCAAGTATCTGTTTTTATTAATAGAGAAGGAGTTTTCTATGGTCAATGTAGTGAAATTTGTGGTATACTTCATTCAAGTATGCCGATAGTTATCGAATCTGTTTCATTAGAAAAATTTCTTACATGACTTGAAGAACAATAGTTTGCTTATTCACTTATTCACCCCGATTTTATTATTATTTTAATTTTAATAATTCCTAATATTTATTATTATTATTATTATTAGTTCTCACCTTTGTAAGTATAGCCTACATTATATTTTTACTTACTAGATCTCATGCATTTACAAGTTTAGCATTACAAAGTAAATTAGGTTTAGGTGGTAGTTTTAGAGAAAAACTAATTAAAAATCGGGCTATTATAGTTACATTAATTATATGCGGTGTAATTTTTTTTTAGGTCGAACTTATTTAGTTCCCTTTATTTTAGACAGTCTTCAATCTTTATTAGATTTCTTTAATATAGGAAATCCTAAAACTAATTCTGATCTTATCTCCGGTATAAGGGATAAATATTTAGATATTATTTCTCCCTTGCTAGCAAGGTAAATATTTAATTTTATTATCTCTTTTTATTAAAGAGTAAATATAAAGATAAATCAAAACTTAAACATATAGGGGGTTTGGTTAAATATCTTGCAGATATACTTAAATATAAGGAAAAAGTTACGCCTGAGGATATTAATAAGCTTTCTCTTTCTCTTTCTCTTTCTCTTTCTCTTTCTTTAAAATGAACTGATTCTGCTATTCATATGCCTAAAAATTTGAATAATATGTGAGCCAGAGCTAAATATAGAGATTATTCCTCTTTTACGGGTAAGGAATTTAGTATTGATAAAAAGTGTTTCAGGTTTAGATTACACTAGCAGTTTTGTTTTTTGTTTTTTGTTTTTTTTTTTAATAAAAACCAGATTTTGTCTTTGTCTTGTATTAACTCGAAATTCTTCGAGTTTACTAACTTATAAAGGTTAGGTTATTATCACCCTATACGTTCTTATCATCTTAAATCTGTATCACATTCAAATAATAGATTAAATGTTTATAGAGAATTAGGTTTTTATTGAATATAACCTATATTGATTATAGTCAATTTATTTAATATGATTGATAGTCTTAATTATATATGTTGTGATGATTCACATAGTTTCATCGTGATATATTTTATATTGTCTACATTTGTAGTATGGTGTTTTTTATTTAAACAAATATTAGATGAATTATAATAATAATTATAATAATATTTTCCTTTTTCCTTTTTCCTTTTTCCTTTTTCCTTTTTCCTTTTTCCTTTTTCCTTTTTCCTTTTTCCTTTTAGTTTTGTTAAACCTAACACATTAAATTATATGGGTATAACATCTGAATATAGTTATTGAACTAATATTTCTAAGGAAGAATATAACTCTTTAGTTAAATTTAAGAGATGAATGTCTTTTATATTTAAGTAAATATTTAACTTCATCATTATTAAGGGTAATAAAGCTATTTAATCAATATATTACTCGTAAATTTGATGTTCAAATGGTAGGATATTTAACTATAAGTAGATTATCTTTAAATATTTACTTTAAAAAATACTAAAAAAATATTCTAAAATACCCATTATTAAAGGTAATATATATGATGAATTAAAGAATGCTTATTATGGTGGTGTTACTCCCCCTGAAAATATGGATAGTTTTTGAGGGGCAGGTCCGCAGGAAGGATTTTAGACTTAAAGGCCTACGAAGTACGAAGACTTCGTACTTCTTCTTCGTAGTTCTTCGTACTTCTTCGTAGTTCTTCGTACTTCTTCGTAGTTCTTCGTACTTCTTCGTAGTTCTTCGCAGTTCTTCGCAGTTCTTTGCAGGGATAAACGAGACTCCCTAATTTACTACGAAGTATAGATTAATATACTAAATAATAAAAAATACATTTTATTATTTTTTAATAGAGGGATATTAAGGAAATTTATTCCTTTAGTCTTTAGTGGGATAAAAGAAAACGTATAGGAATTAATAGGCAAGCTTAAATAAAATTATAAGTTTATAGTTAATGTTAATATTTATGAAAGAGCCATTTTTTTTTTGTTTAATTGTAGTTTAGTATGATAGGGTCCTAGTGTAAGTTTTAGGGGGGTAGTTCTATCTGCCAAGGATAATAGAATGAATATAAACTTTAAGTTTAATAAGATATAAAGATAAGAAGGGATATCATAAATTGAATGGTAAAAAAAAAATATATATATATATACATTTATATGTAATCACAACAGTTGGAGGCTGTTTATTTGACAGGAGGTATTATTGTATGAGGGGTATACCACTAATAAAGCGGGTTGTAAGCGGGGCTTTATTCTTTCGAAGCAGTAGCAGCGTATGGT